GAATTTTGGCCCCCTGTGCAATTGAGTTTGACACCCCTGGTCTAAAGAAACAACTTCTGATGTTTGCCAGCTGTGCTGCTATAGAGCTTTTTCTACAACTAGAGCTTCTCAAGAGGCCTTTCCTTATCACCTTTAGACTCTGTATGTTCGTAATCGGTGACAGTAGACCCATGGTTGTAATGACATCTTACAAAATACTAGGGGTGTCCTGAAATCGATCGACATTATGTCATGGTCACGATAGAAATAATCAAAATCAAAGAGAGGATCGATGATCCCCTCCTTCCACATCCGGGAGGTGTGAAAAGCGGAAGCAAATGACAGCACTGCATATTGTAGCCGAAGCGAGCCTCTGTGAGTTCTTGTTGTTGTTGTTATTATGTAGGGCTGCAGGATATATCGTTTGAGCATCTTCATCATGATGTACGTGTGCGCAATATTAATAATAATAATAATAATAATAATAATAATAATAATAATAATAATAATAATCATAATAATAATAATGATAATAATAATAAATAATAAAAATAATAATAATAATAATAATAATAATAATAATGCATCAGATTTCATATAGCACTTTATCAGAGACCCTCAAAGCGCTGTACATTGGATACATCATTCATTCACCAAATCTAGAGTAGTCGAAAAATGGCATAGGCCTCTGTGCTGTAAGAAAAAGAATTGAGAATCAAATCGTGACTTTAAAATGAAAATTAAGTTGAATCGAAAATTTGTAGAATTGTGACACCCCTACAAAATACAGTACAAAAAACACCTGTGGGAACCAGCCGTAAACACACAGAAAATAAAAAGTTACAGCTCACCTTTCCTCAACGTTGATCGGAGAAGATCTTTAATCAGATTTAACATCAATTTATTGATGTCAATAAGTGAGTATCTCTAGTGTCCTCCTCCTCATTAGTGTTAATGAATCGCACTTAGAAAATCTGCTTGGTATAAACGAGGATGAGCGGCAGCACTTTGAGATGCTAACAGTCTCCCTTCAGCTCAGTGCAGCCAGTCTTAAAAGAAACAGACTGAGTCTGAATCTGAGTAACTGAGTGAAAGATGCTGCTGTCATTTCTGTCAGAAAGACTCACATCAGACTGTTATTTTAGGGAACAGGAGAGGTAAAAGATATTAGAGGAAGTGGATGGGAGGGGAGATAAAGTTAGAAACAGACGTAGCTGAATGTGGGACAGAATTACAGTAACTCGCTGAATTCATCTTTCTTTGATGTTATTCGATCAAACAGCATCTCTCTGAAGACCAGAATACATTCGCTGAGATTTCTCTTTTCTGTTCTGACTGTGGTTTCAGTCTGTCACTGAGTCTGAAAGGAGCTGTGTCTCTGTCATATACTCATCACTCACTCTCTGAGTGTTTTGATGCTGAGAGCTCTGAGGAGGGTCCGCCCGTCCAACACCACACTCTCTACACAACTGCTGCCCACTTGGCCGTGAAGTTTGGTGCAGATACTCCTGAAATTTTACAGACTAAGTCAATATATATATATTTTTTTGTTTCATACGAAACACATTTAATCATTTTAAATGGATATAAATTTAGGTAAATATATTCACAGAGTCTAACTGAGTTGCAAGAATCATACTGACAGCCTTTGTATTATTATTAGATTTATTTTATACTTAAGCTGGTGTTAAAGTTTATGTCCCCAAATGTAAAGCTGTTATGGAGCTTTTCTGAACATGTTTTGTATTCGATGAAAATGTAAAACTACTAAAAGATCTTGTGGGACCTCACTTATCAAACAGTGCAGCTTTTGTCATTCACCATTATCTATTATTATCTATTATATTATATTAGGTCTCCTACTGTCGTCAAGAGTTTTGTCTTTGAGTGAAGTTGGTGCCAGAATAGAGGGAGTACAGTATATCAACAAAAACAAAATCCACTTTGATTGGACTGGATGGAAACTACATCAAATCTTCTGGCTTGTCCAGTGCACACTACATATAGAACATGATTACTGTTGTATGGTTGGATAAAAGTTAGAGTGACGTAAGTCCACATGACACAGACTTAAAACTTCCGTACAAAACCCAGGCATTTGACGGATCATATAAACTCCCCCGGACAAAACCAGACAAGGCTGGACTGCCCCCCAAAAAAGAGTACATGTCCATGTAAAAGAGAACGTGAAAGTATTTGTATTCAGGGTTTTTGTTCACCTCTAAGACATACAGACGATTTCTCTGTAGCATTAACTTATTTGATGCCAGGGCTAACTTGAGTTTTTTTGGCAAAGCAAACTGGGGGAAACCATTTTTCATCCTCCTTCATGCGATTGCCATGTCATCAACCACGAATGTAAAGCCAACCAGAGACTTACAGTTTATATTATCTGTACACATCAGTCCCTGCACCGGTCGTTTTAAAATATGTTGCTGGCATCAAATTAAAGATCAGAAATTACTGATCAAACTTTTTCCTTTTCTCTTTTTCAATATTTGACATGTTTTCCATGCACAGGGTTCAATAAAGTCTAGGCAGTACCTGTATTTCTGAAGTAAGGCTTTTTTTTTTACTTTTTTAAAAACTCTTTTTAGCTGAATGATTTTCTTTATTTTACACGCTGCTGTTTCATTCTGTGAACTGCTGTATTATTTTCCCTGGAAAGCAAAGACATAACAAGACCCTTATTCTGACTCAGAGACACTTCACACTGACTAGACTGTATTTGGAAATCATCACACCTTTTTGTCAATAACATAGCGCTCACCCACTCAGGCGTGAACTCTTATACTTTTACATCCACGAAAATGACTTTAACGGCGTCTGTTTGCTTTTTCACCCCTGCCTGTCAGGAGGGTTTTGTTTTGAGGGAATCTCTGCGGGGTTTATCTTCAGGTCAGGTCAGAGTCTGACATGTGGTGAAGGTGGTCAGTTTCCATTCAAACACCAGATATCAGCACAAATATCAGCTTCTTGTTCCTCCTCTGGCTCTATTTTTAGCCCGGCACCATGACTCAGGACAGAAATGTCACACCGAAAAACACAGTAATTCACAAGGAAAATCCTCAACAACTGCTGCACAGGTTGGTGTGAAATTTGGGACATGTATGATTCACACTTACAGTATTTTAATGGTCACCTCTTTCTGCAAACACCCACAGGTCTTTATTTATTCCTGAACAGTAACTAATTGAAAGAGATGAAGCAAACAAGCAAACATCTCCACACAGTCAGGGTGACATTTAAATCCACTGATGGTGCCTAAGAGCAGGGTGGGAGGCAAGCTGTGGTCAGGCTGTAGGCTGCTGTCCTGCCTTTCCTCAGTTTGACAGACTTTTAGTTTGTTTTCAGGTTTTTCATGAATATCACAAAATTTTTATTTGGATGTATTATGGTCACTTTAACCAGAAGCTGAAAATCTGATATACAAAGATCATTTGTATCATTTGTAGGGCCAATTTGCAAAGCAAACAATTCACTTTAAAAAAAAACAAAAAACTTATAAAGTCAATGCAAGCTTCCACACCAGCTATAGACTTCCGCAGAGCGAAAAAAGCAACTGCAATTTTTTCGCCCCTGTAGAGAATTTTGCGAACATCTGCAGGCAAACTGCTTTATAAATCTATAGCCTAATATAAATCTTACCTGAGACATGTGGCAAGCCATTGCTTGTGATCAATCAGCTCTCTGTAATTTGTCCTCTCCTTCTGCAAATGTGGAGTCAGCTGATGGAGCAGTTCTTGAAATTGTCTGAGGGACATTCAGAAGTATCGTCCAAATTTCTCAGGATACAGTTTAAGCTCCTGGATCGTTGTGTGGAACTTCCCCATCTCCTGTCGCAAGGTCAGTATTCGACGTATCCAGACACTTTGATTCTTCTTTTTTCTTATTCATCACTTGAGGATGTAGTCACCATTGTTTCTCCTTCTCTCTCCTCCTTTGTTCTCCCGTAGAGTATTTTTATGCAAATCTGTGAATTTTATTTGCGTTGCACCAAGTGTGTGTAGGAAAAGGTGTGAGCAGAATATTTTTCATTTTCACATCACTTTGCTAATTTGCCGGTGTGTAATAATCTTTAATCTATAATAATGTCATTCTCAGGTAACATTAAAGCATAAGTGAAGCTGGAGCTGCATCATTAGAGGATGCAGTATGAACAAGTGGTAAAAAGGTGGTAAATTGACAAAAAGCTGTGGTGCATAAGTGTCCTGGAGATAATCTATACTGAAGTTTACATATTTTGTAAACACTCTTTGGTGGGAAATAATTGATAATGACCATCTCCTGGCTTGAAATGAAAAATCACATCTTGCATGCATGGATTTGCATATGGCTTTTGTTTTCTTGACCTGGCATCCAGAGGGACTCCATAAGACAAATGACGACTGTGCCTGAGAGAAAACAACAACCCTTGAATCATCAGCGTGGTATCCAAATGTTTCTCTCCTTCTGTCTTAGTTTTTTATGGAAAAGTCAAAACCAAAGTGCACATGTAAGAGAAAGGCAATACTCTGTGATATGTCCCTGACTCCCAATTTAACAAATGATTAAACAGAAAAAGCCGAAGGGTCGGAATTAGTGCTGAAAAATGATACCACAGAGGGCAGCAGATTCTCTGGACTGTTTCTGTTTTACTGTGGACCTGGCTTTGGCTGAGGACAGAGTAAAGAAGAGCAAACCATGTTGTCTCCTCTCTCTTTGAAATGTGTGTGTGTGTATTTCTGTGTGTTGCTGTATGTGTGTGTGTGTGTGTGTGTGTTTGTTGTGTCTGGCAGTCTGCAGGCTTGTCCAGCAGGCCAGAGCCCGAGTGTCGCTCGTCATTCTGTCACACTGGATGAGTCCTGATAGTACGGAGGCTGTTTTGGCCACAAATACCCCAGAGATGGAGAGAAGAAAGGCACATAGATGGATGGAGAGCCGCGGAGAACAAGAAGGACAAACACAAAGTGAGAGAAAGTGGATCTGTGTGTGAGGGAGAGGGAGGTGTGTCAGCAAAGGGCCTGGATTTCCCCGGAGACGTCCTGACAGAGAGACAGAGACACACAGAGGCGAGGCTCTGAAAGCAGAAAAGGACACTTTCTTCTTCCGAAAGCTGGACATCTTCCAAAACTTCTGCAGCTCAAAACAACAAGAACTATCCACATCAGATTTCCACAAAAAAGACCTTAAAAATGGCCTCCAAATGTTTGAACTTCAGGCTTGCTTCTGGCGAAAGAGGGGGTGAGAGTTGGTCTTGGACTTCAGACTGTTGACCAAGACTTTGCCAGTCTCAGAATACCAATACGCCACCTTATAACCCAGGCAGTATCACACCAGGCGAACAATAGAGCCCTAAAATTCAGAGCTATGTATGCCTATTAAACAAAATTAAGGTTGCGTGTTCAGAAAACATCAAAATATGACTTCATTTATTTTTTCCAGCCTTATCTTTTTGAAAGTAGTTCAGAAAAGAGTTGCTGCAGAGAAAGTGTGATTTTGTTCGTGTTTAAAACCAGTGTGGAAGCATGTATGTCATGTTGTCAGGGCTTAGTGTGATTTTCTTCTCTTGTTCTTGTTGTTTCAGGCAAATCCACTCAGAGACCTCTGGCCTGTGAGACCAACAGAGGAGAGAAACAGCACGAGAAAGAAAACAGACCGACAGCCAAACATAGAAAGCAAAAGAGAGCGAGAGAGAGAGAGAGAGAGAGAGAGAGAGAGAGAGAGAGAGAGAGAGAGAGAGAGAGAGAGAGAGAGAAGAAGAAGAAGAAGTGAGGGGGGCCATGGAGACTGGCATGTTTTCCCAGTGTGAGAAACAGCTTGAAAACAAAGAAAGATGAGAAGAAAACAGGAGGTGTGTGTGAAGCTGGCTGCCCACAGGGATTGTACAGTGTAACCCTGGTCCTGTTCTGCTGCTACAGCCAGAGAGCAGACCAAAGAGAGACCACGCAGCTCCTCTGGTTTTAATGCCTCTGTGAGGGCCACAGGGATGAATTATGGGGCTGCAATCTGACTAAAACGCTAATGACAAACAACAGGAGGAACAATTGAGAAAGCAATTGCTTTAATTGATGCAGCACAGAGGCGCAGGGTCAGAGGGGGTTAAATATCCTGGAGGTGGGGCTGAGCTTTACTGACAGCTGCAGGTTTAAGTGGTGCTGCTTTTCACTGCAGGCAGGGGAGAGACTCAAATCTGCTCTCCTTCACATGTCCAGCAGGGGGCCACTGCAGTGGCTAAAAAATAAGTGATTATATAGCACTCTATAAGAAAACTGTCCTACTTCCTGGTTGATTTACTCTCTTAGTAAACATTTATTTAATGGGTTTATGATCTAAATCTCTAGTTTACAGCTTTCTTTAAGACAGCATGATGTTCATTTACTGGTCCCATTTATAAATACTGTACTGACCTGGATATTAATCTGTTTTCTCCACTCAAAATATGTCTAAAAAGTGGTTTGTCCTATATTCTGTAAAGAGTTGCATGCAAAGATTACTGTTGTGTTCACAATATCACCTCTATATGTAGTATCGGGTAATGAAGCGACTTAGAGTTTATCTGCAGTATAGCTCCTGGTCTCATGGAGCAGATTTCACTCTGTGTTTTTCTGTGACATCCAGAGGAGCAGTGATTTCCAGAGCCTTTCCAGGTATGTCTAAATAAATATCTCTCATGTTTGCACAGTAGGGTTGGACATTTTTAAAACATGAAAATCACAACCTTCCCTCTGGGGACAACATACACAACCACTTGCCTGTTGGGAAAACAATTTATGGTGATTGTGGATGAATTGCAAATTGGGGAAATACAATGCTACCCAGTGTATCATTCGAGCGCTTGCTGTCTACATTGTTTTAACATATTCCTACATTTACGGGAAGGTGCATGTCAGGGAATTTATGTAGTCCTCTGCAGAGGTGTGCTGTTCAAAACTTATGCAAACTACCAAAGCATAGATCCAACCTGATGCATACTGATTTTTGACTGGCTCCCTAGATAGCCAGACATAGACTGTATATAGAATGGACGTCGTCTGCCTCCTCGCTGGGTGAAGCCACCGCAAGAACAGCACCCTCTGGTGACAGGCTGCAGTATAGGTCATAAATCCCGCCTCCTCCAGCAGTCCCTATGGAGCTGTGGACAAACTTTAGAAATTTATCACACAGAATATACATTTTTCTCCCCCTGTTTGTGATGTTGACATGTAGTTACTGTAAGACTGGTTTGTGATCAAGTCCTCTTATTTCTGTACAGCTTCTTTTTTAAAAGTTATCAGGGGGTTCATGTTTTCTTTGATTGACACTTGATACAGCCTATGGGTGTACAAAGATTGCATAGCTCACTCAGGGGACACACTTTTTGCGCCGAGCGTCATCACAGCGACTCTTCTGCTAAATGTGTACAACGCTTCTGGGCAAGAGGTGGTTCCAGAAAGTGGGAAAAATCATGGAAATACCAACAGCAATTCGGCTTCAAATTTGTATTATGATGGAAGGCAGAGCCAAGTTGTCCATAGTATATACAGTCTATGGTTGACAGCACCAATGGCTTATGTGCTAAAATGAAGGCATTCATTAAATGGTAGTGATATAAGATATGATATTTTGTCTAAATTTTCCTGCTCAAACATACATGAATGTAGTTCATTCTGCAGACAGGGAACGGCGGCTCAAATGGGAGGATTCAACAAGTCTCGAGAGGAGCCGAGACTGACAGAGTATATTCCGTTAGGACTGTCGAAATTGGATTGACAGCACCAAATGTGAGCTTTTTTGAGCATTTGAGGTTGTAGCACATTTAAAAAAAATAAAAAACACAAAATAATTATTAGAATCACTGATGCCGATAAATTAACATTAGCTTTTTTTGTCACCTGATACTGTTTCATTTCCTCTTAGAAAAAAAAAAATGTTGGCCTTTCCTATCTGGATGATCCAAAGGTGTTTGTGGTGCAGAGCCTGAGTGTGATGAACATGCATGCTGTAAGTTCACCTTTGAAACTCTGAATGCAGCAGAGATGCTTGAGTTTTCTGCAGAGGAATGTGAGGCAGTGAAAAGACGGCCTGATAATGTTTCTGCAGAGATCACTCTGTGCTCTGACCTTTAGTAATGAGCTCACATCATAGGACGGCCTTTTCACACTTCTTGGACTGCTGACGTTTTTTTTCTTAATGTTTTCTGTTTGCATCCCTCCTCCAGCTGTGTTCTTTTGTGGGATAGAAGAAGAGAGAGGGAAGAAAGGATGAAGGAGGAAAAAAAAAGACTTGTGCTGCTGACTGAGCAAATTCTGCTGAGGTGGCACCCCAGCCAGCTGCATCTATCACACCCTGATGCTAATGGCTGTTACAGACCTGCACCCTCCCCGCCATGCCCGAATCATCTCCACCCCCTTTAGCCAGCATGGCGAAGGAGACTTGACACAGAAACGAGTTGAAACTAATGACTCTAATGAGTCTTGCTGCCCCCCTGCCAATGTCTGCCGTCATTACTGCTGCCCCTGCCAGTGGGTCCAAATGGCTCTGTTTTTAGCCTGGCACACTGCTGCTCTCCTCTCTGAACAAAGAGTGTGCATTTGTGTGTGTGTGTGTGTGTGTGTGTGTGTGTGTGTGTGTGTGTGTGTGTGTGTGTGTGTGTGTGTGTGTGTGTTTGTTTGTTGGGGCGTGGAGGGTGGGGGTGGGGGGCAGAGTCATCCTGTGAGCACAGAGTCTTCAAAGCAGTCAGATCTTTTTTTCTTATACCATTATTAGCAGGTCTGTTTCCTCTTTTGTCTCTGAATTTGGCTCAAACTTTTCACCTCCATTGATTTCAGTTACATGGACAGCTTCCAGCTCGCCTGCGGTCAGAGAGATTTGCTCTGACCGAGGACACTGCAGAGCACATCCTCTGTCGGTCCCTAATTCAGTAGTGTGTCCAGACCAGAAAAAGGCCAACATTAATCATAACCCTTGAGCATATTTACTCAATGTGTTTGGGACTCATACAGGTGCAAAGTGAAGCATATTACACTAATGAAACATATCGTTGCCATCCTATAAAGAAACATGTTTCTCCAAAATTAGTTTTTTTTTTCAGGAACATTAAAAAACAACTTTATTCATACACTTCCTTATAGAATAAACCCCCCAAAAAACTGTGATTAGACACAATTAGGGCCAGAAATCACAATCTATATTTACACAGTCATCAGTTTGATGAAATGGAATTATGTGCTTTGCGTTGTTAGTGATAGTAGACATATATGTTCAGTTATTTATGAGCTTCGCGTATCCTGTTTATGTCCCACTATGTTGATAAACTATTGATAGTGGGCTATCCTACATTTCCACGTAGCACATTGGTTGTCAACCTTTTTGAGTCACGAGTCCCAATTTAACATGCACAAGCTTTGCCTCTGGGGATGAACTTCAGCTCAAGAAATCTAATTTACAGTTAAGCAACACTGTCAGGGTCAGAAAAAAAGTTTTAGGTCAGCATCAGTCGATGTGAGGACATTAGTGTAGCATTACCCTGGACTGTGATGAGTCTGTCACAGAGTAAAGACTGTTTGCTGACATGACAACACAGGGCCAGGGCAGGAGATACGTGCTTTGTTGACACTTCTAACACCCAATGGAGATACTTGTTGAAAAGATAATGTTATAAAATGTATTTCCATCTGTCATTTGGATACCCAAAGCTACAAGTTGTTAGGGAAGATGATGGACCATGGGTGTATTGAAAAAAGTCCAGATCGCTAAAAGTGGAGTTACGTGTTTTACATTGGACTGAGGCTTTTTTGGTATTAGCCCATTAGTGACAAGAATCTGCATGACCTAAATTAGGATCAGAACTGGTCAATCATTGCTTCTTTGATTCTAGAGATTACTTTAAGACTGTAAAAATTGCAATTCCAAAGCTTAACACCTTTTAAGTTTTCAGCAACTAACTAAAATCCTCCACAGTGTCAGAGTTTGCAAAAGTAAAAGTCTTTGAATCAAAGCAAAATATTTTTTATTGCTGACATGCTGATTAAACAGAAATATGCAAATGAATGCCTCCCAGCTAATGATAACAAGCAAAAGTTCTGTTAAAACTGTTTAGACTTCTGTTTAGAAAAGTTCAGATTTTCTCTCCTGATGAACTGAAATTGCATCAGATATTGTAATTCATAGCACCTCCCTAAGCCTGCATGAGTATGCCAAAAAAGAAAAACATAACCACTATTATTTTAATTGGCATTGAGAATATGGTACATGATTTTAATGATCTGACATCTGTGTCACATGCATAGGCAGGACTTACGGACTTTACAAAAGTAAAATAAAAATAAATAAATAAATAAACTGTCTTTTCTGTTTGTTGTCTGTTTGTCTGTGTTCAACCAAAGCATGACTGTCTGTCTCAAAGGAAAATTTTTATCAGCAAAAATCATACTTTTTTTTTTTCCTGAATGGGACCATGCTTCAGTTCTTCACTTCACATTAAGTGCTTTAAGTTCATTTTGATTGGTCTTATTAAATTAATGCCAGACTTGTACCTGCAGTCAAGTATTTTATACTGGTAATAGAAAACCAAAGGATCTGAGCTTCTCCAACCCATTATATCAGTGGCTGCAGATCCAACAAACCATTTCAAACCACCTTTTCCAAGCCTTTAATTTAAATCCATATAATGCAATAAAAAAAATCAAGGATGAAATGTAAAGAGCAGCAAGGAGCAGTGCCA